TCTTTCTCCCAATGTTATCTCATGCGTAGGCATCTATTAACCAATGTATACACACAATTATTCAATTTGATACATATCATTAACTAACTTCTTTTACTGTTTATTGATTTCATATATTACCATGATTGCTTATTAACAATAATTAGAAGTGTATTAACAAACTTTTTTCACAATATTAACCAAATTCATTTACTGTTAATCAATTTAATATATTTACTTATATTTATTCGCATTAACTATCTTTTGGACTTTATTGACCAATTTGTTTCACAACATTAATCAACTTTATAATAAAGAATATTATAAACTTTTACTCATGTCTAGGTGTTTGTTTACCGATTTATACACAATATTAACCATCATTTTACACCAACATTAACTAATTATATTATACTATATCATATATTTAATTAACAGAATAACTGTCACAAGTTGAGGAAGAGAGTAGTCGTCGCCGCCGCGAGTTGAAGAACAGCATCGTTACTGCCGCGAGTTAAAGAACAGCGTCACTAGGAGTTGAAGAACAACGTCGTCGCAAGTTAAAAAATAATACCGCCTTAATCGTTGGTTGAGAGATGTTTCAATTGTTGAGAGAGGAAGAGCACTGATAAAATCGTGTGTTGAGAGAGGAAGAGCGCCGACAAAATCATGTGTTAAGAGAGAAAGAAGTGTTGCAAAACTAAGAGAAGAGCTTCCTGAGAGAGTGCTGCTATGAGAGAAGAGAGAGAAACAAAACCAAATATAAAAATAAAAGCTTTTGTAGGTTAACACTTACATTTATTCTCTATTAAACTAATTGCCCTTAATTGTTTGAGAAATTACATAAAAACTAATATTTGTAAAATACATAACGGTGTAGTCTAAACATTTAGGGTCAAAATATCATTTCTCTAATAAATAATACACTATTTAGAGTTATTTTATTTAATAATACACTACACTCCTTGTTATGCTTGTTGCTTATATCATATTACATAGTACTAGTATATATTACACTCATGCATTTACTAATTTGAATCACACACCAATAAAAATATACAAATTACTAATGGTTGCCACACATTTGATATTTTAGAAAGTACAAATATTTTGATCAACTAGATCATGAAATATCACTTATTATTACTATCAAATTGTTTTGTATTTTATATATATATATATATATATATATATATATATATATATATATATATATATATATATATATATATATATATATATATATAATATATATATATATATATATATATATAGATATATATATATATATATATATATATATATATATATATATATATATATATATATATATATATAATATATATATATATATTTTTTTTTTTTTATAAAAAACAATATTTTGTAATATACCATAATTTACTGTATTTTAATATATTTAATTATTTGACAAACTATTATTAGTAAGATTAATTTATTAAATAAAAATTATTTTATTATTAAAAATGAGTATAACTATGTATTATCTTAAAAGTATGTAAAATTAATTTTAAAAACCTAGTAGTTTAAAGTAGAAGGAATATCAAATTTCCTTAATATAAAATAGAAACAATTTTTAGAAACCTAATATTTTAAAAATCCTAATAGTTTTAAGTAGAAATTTTGTTTACAATTTATTGTTTCATATCTATATATCTATATGTGAAGGTGATTAGACATTAATCTAATAATTTGTAGATGAATTAAGGGATGAATAATATAAATAAATATTTAATATGTTAAAATGGAAAGAAAAAAATTCACACAAAAAGTCATATCACGATATCATAATGTCTAAAAAAAAAATTGTTACTCAACTATAAGTGTACACCACAAATAATAGTTTGAAGGAAAGAAAAAAACTCATAAAATTTTCAAGCAAATTCACACAATGAAGATGAATTGCTCCATGTTCATCATTTTCTTCATTCTTCTCATAGCAGGTATAAAAAAATTATAATTAGGTATCAATTTTACATATAATTTATATATTTTGTTGGTGTTTTGTGCATAAGAGAAAATAATAAGTTTGCAAAGAGAATGGTAAAATAAATTAAGAATCACAAAATTTAAAATATTATTATATTATTTAGACATGTGAGAAAGTTATTTAATTATATTTATTATTGTGATGATGTACTATATATGACATGGTGTGTAGGTAAAAATTCTGCTACTTAAGAAGAACTATATTAATATTTGGGGAGACTCTACAATTATTCAAGCTGATGGTACATATTTTTTCTCTAATAAACTCTTTCTCAAGTGTCTGTAGTGATAAATCTCTATTATGCCAAAAAAATTATAAAAATCATTTTAATTGTTTTTTTTGTTGGTTCAAGTCTGATTTTTATAAGTGGCATGAGTAAGTTATCTATTAATCACTTTATTATTTGTAATTTAATTTAATTAATTTTTGGTAATTTGATTTAATTTTTTTTTGGTTATATACATGTTATGCTACAAGCATCTACCCTTGATGATGATAATGTTTTATTTAAACTATAATTGAATGTAAGCTAAGTCAACCATTGATTATGTTTGTAATCTCAATGATTGATTTTAACTCATCTTTAACTTCAGTTGAAGAGTCATTAATTATGAATATGTGGTGATGAATATATTTTGTGTAAAAAATTAGTTGAAATGAATTTGACTTTTTTTTTGGTGGTTCTAGACTTATGGTTATAAAAAAACAAAGAGAAAACAGAGTTTATAATATTTGACTACAAGTCTTAACCTCCTTTTAAACATTGTGGCCAATACTCTTATTCTCATCTCATATCATCTTGGGTATGTCACTATTAGGGTTGTCAAGATCATATATGACCTTATCACTATAAATTTATGATAAAAAATTTAGTCAGCAAAATACGTGCGCGCACGTGCATAAACATAAATATATAGTGTTTTAATTTTTTTAATTTGAAAATTTATAATTATAATTTATGATAAATAATGAGTCTAGTTTGTCATTTGTGATAAATATTAAAATCTAGTTAGAAATATATGTTAGGTTATAAATATAATATTTACTTGTTACATATAACTTGAATAATAGGTCACCCACAATCAATCATATCTGTTAAAATTATTTATTATTAAATCAACGATAATTTTTTGAATTTACGGTGATAAACTAATAAATTTGGTTCACCGTATTAACCTCCACCTTTGATTTATGTCCAAAGTTTGAGGAACTTCTTTCTCTATCACTTTAATGGATCTAGTACGATTGTTTTGATCTAAGCGTACCTATAATAATATATTTCATTTAATCAATTTTTGATTTCTAGATTTAGTTTATTATGTTTTCTTTTTGATTTGTATAGGTTTTGATATAATTTATTATGTTTTTTTTTGGTTTGCATAGGTGTCCGTATAATTTATTATGTTTTCTTTTTTGTTTGCATAGGTGTCCGTTTAATTTATTATGTTTTTGTTTTGGATGGGAAATACAAATATGTTATTTTTGGATTGGAATAATAAATATATGCTATTTGTACACCATTTTCTACACTACACCAACTACTACAAAAAAAATTGATTAAATATTGAAATCATTTTTCTTCTCTTTCTTTTTTTAGAGCTATGATGATAATGCAGTGGGGCCAAATTCTTATATTTTACATCTTCTTCTTTCTTTCTCCCGGTTAATAAATTTCATGTGTTTACTCATATTTATTCGCATTAACCATTTTTTGAATTTTATTGACAAACTTGTTTGACGACATTAACTAATTTTATAATAAAGAATATTGTTGTATCTTAAATTTTATCTCTAATTTTCTTAGTCGTATTTTTATATTATATTTTGTCATTTGGTCACAATCATTAATAAATAGCTTTATTCATCACATTTGCATCATTTAATCGTGTTTAATTTGACCAAAAGTCAGTTTAAATCGACATTTGCATCATTCTATAGATGAAAAATATCCGATATTTCACCCCATGCATTTTTATCTCTTTATTTATTTCTTGCATTGCTCCAAATTGTTTATATATTGATAATAAAAATATTTCGGTTTTATAGACAGACTGTTAAAAGTGTCACGCTGTGCGAAAAATTAGCGAGAAAAATATTTCAAGTTTTCACCTTTTACGGATCATTTTATGAATTTGTGTTCCTCGTGGATTATGACGATATACTCGCTTTATTTTTTCAGTACAGTTTAAAGTCTTGTTTTCAATCGTAAACTTCTGTTCAACGTGATATTTTTATTCTCATTTTGTTTTGATTTTGACTTTTTAAATATTTTTTCTTTAATCTTTTTAACATGTAGTTTATTTTAATGTGTTCATTTTATTTTTTTGGATAAATTTTTGTCCATTTTTTTAATCATTTTTAGTCATTTTAAATCTTTATTTTTTATTTAGAAAAAATTAAAAAAAAGTTATTTTAAATTGAGTTAATTTTAATACTTTCAGTTTTTTTAGCTATTTTATCATTTAAGAGATTTTTTGGTCACAAAAATATATTGGTTATACTATGCTTGACTCTCATTGGTTGATAGCAATAATTGTGGATCGATAGAGATTAAAGGAAATCAATGGATGTGATTAAATCAAATCATAAACTCATTCCATCTTCATTTTTAAGGATTTCACTCTTTGTAAATCACACAGTAATCTACTTTCTCTCTTAAACTTTTTATCCCTTTTCTCTCTTTCTAACACACTTCAATTCCTCTTCTATCCACTACAAACTTCCGCCTTTGTCTTTTATTTCTTCATCTACTACTTCTCACTTTCTATTCCTCTCTTCCCAAAACAACACCAAAAGCAACACAGTAAATAATCCCTCCACCTCTTTTCTCTTCCCAACACACAAAAATAAAAAAACTAACAGTAGCTAACTACTCCCTCTCTTTAATTCTCTATTCATCCCAATTTCCTCTTCTCTTCACATAAATCCCGTCATAACACCCTTCTTCGATCTTCCCTCGCCACTGTAACCCAACCTCCACCTTATACACAACCGTTAACCAACCTTCATCTTTATGACAATCAACAACCCTTCAATCCTCTACCCACGAACACCATCCGCCCATGTTCCGTTCAACAACCCACGATTCCAGAAACCCTCTGCCTCTGTTCCAGCCGTTCAACACCCAATCACCATTACCATCACAACCTCTCTCTGTCGATTCAAATTTATTTTTGTTGTTCTGTCTGTGAAACAGCAGCAACTGCATCATCACCGATTTCACCATCGTCCTTCATCAATACGGCTTCCGCGATTTCCAGCAACTCCTCCCTCTGTCCGCGAAACAACAGCAACTGCAGCATCACCATCCTCTATCCATCAATTCTTCCCAGCAAATCGTACACCACCGTAACTTGTTTCTTTAGCTTCCGTGATTCAACGTCATCATCATCAACGTTTTCGACATTTTCGGTAACTCTTCCCTCTTTTTTTTTAACTGTTATGCTGTGATGAATTTATTGATATAATTCTGAAAAATCGATATTGAATTGCTGTTTGTTTTGGTATTTTGTTTTGATTTGAATTAAGTAATTGTTATGCTGTTGAAGTAATAGTTTTTGTTATGTGGTGAAAACGCAAAATGCTGTGATGAATTCTGAATGAAAACAATTTGTTATAGTGTTTGTGTTTGATATTTTTGAACAGATATGCTATCATCCATGAAATTTTTGTTTGACAATGTATGTCTAAGTTGTGTTGAGATACGACGGGATTATCGTAAACAATTTGATACGTTGCTAGAATTTTGTTTGGTGCTGAATTTTGTGATGAGTATTGAAGTGTAGAGGTTGTTACCACACTTTTGTTTCGATTTCAGTTGAAATCTATAATTGGTCAATTTGCTTCCATTTTAATTTCGATTGAGATTATGTATGAAGGATATTCAAAGTTTAGTTTCGATGAAGGTGACGATAATTCCGCATTTATTTGTGTGTAAATCTGACCGAGAATCTATTGAAGACAGCATGCTATTTTCTTTTGTTACAAACCATGTTTGAATTGGAATTTTGGAACATAATAATAATACACAGTTGCTGCCCGTTTTTTCAATTTGATTTATTATGACTTAATTCCAACTTGGTTTATGTTTTGAATTCAATTTCTCATGTTGCAATGTGAACTTTTGATTTTTATTTTCCGTTGTGGTTGAAATAGCGGTTGTTTTTTAATAATGCATGTAATGCTGATTTTTTGTGTTTACATGGAATAATATCATGAATTCTTGATTTTTATTTGTGTAAATATTCATGTGCATCCATGTGATTTCATTTCAATTTTTTATTTTGTAATTACTAACATAGATTTTAATTGTTGCAATTTGCTTCATTTTATTTTTATACCGCTTATGCTACTAACGAGTTTGTTTACTATGAAGGTTTTCGAGAACTGTTTCATGAATTCATTCTCGCATAGCACATTTACACTTTTTCTTAATTCCCTGTTTACCTTACTATTTTGATTTAATATTTGGTACTGTAAATATATACTTGTACATAATATTTTTGAGTGTATATTTTATTCATTTGTAAATAAATTAAGTTTATGTAAATATTATTCTCATATTTTTCAAAATCTTCTTTGTTTATAAACTCGAACCGCTTTCATAATAAACCTCAACTTTATCGAGTGCATTTTCTTTTAAAACTTATTTTCTTTAAAAAAAACTTCAAATCACTTAATCATACTTTGATATCTTTCAAAATTAACAAAAACAATTCAACTCATTCAAACCCTTTTGTGCGCTCGAGCACCTTTTACTCTTCAAAACATTTTTCAAGATTAGACATGATTCATTGATAGTCGAGCAACATTCTCATATCCCCATGGTTATAAAGGTGTTGAATTTTCCACTTGAGTGTTAGAGACCCTCACTCTTGTTGACGCAGGGTCCTTCTTTCCCACACCTTGTGGGCGTTAGTCGAGATTTCTCTCCTAACAATGATGACTTGTCTCTTCGTTTAAAAACAATCAACAAACATGTTTTTTCTACCCGAACTATGGTGCTCTGACTTTCCCATTGCACGAGGTAGTACGTAGGTACTAAGTCTTACGACCCAAGGCGAGCAACAAAAATAATTAAAAAATATTTCATTTGTGTGCAAATACTCATTCATTCTTTTCCTTTAGCAAGTAAACATTTACATGACACTCCTTTTAAAAGAAACCAAACAAAGTGGATCATGCAGAGTACCATAAATGCTTAGGGTTCTAATACATTCCATTTGTATGACCGACCCTCGTACCTCGACCTCTGATCTTTTATTTCATTGTGGTTTTGTTCGCTTTTTTCCCATTTTCCTTTAGAAAAAATAAAGTGTGCTGGTGACTTTATTGTTTTAAGTTAAGTTAATTGATGGCTTAATCTCAAATCTTTACGGCTACATTTATTTTCCTATCATTACTTTCGCAATTTCGTTCTCTCTTAGTTCTGATTTGCGCGTGTGACAGAAAGTTGGGGACTTCACTGGGGACAGATTGACCTATTGCTGGTCCATTCCTAAGTGAGTCAATCATAGCTTTGTTTGTTTCTTTTCTATGAGTGTTTATATATTGTTTTAATATCTGTTTATTGCTTCCCATTATTCTGTATATATGTTTGTCTGGACTTTCCTGGTTTTCAGGGGCTTGGTGACTTCTTATAAGTCTTCTACCCGGACTTTGGGAAAACTTAGGATAGGATAGGCGGTATAGTCATGTTAACTTTGAGAGAGTAATCTTAAAAAAGGAGACATGAGATCCCCCACTCAGTGGAGGCCCCTTTCATTGTAGTGTTGTTTACCGAGTAATCGGGAAGACATACTGCTTTTGACCTGGGAGCCTGCTGAAGCTGAGGACCGTAGAACACGTAACCCATCTTGGCCTTTTAGGTGTAGTGCGGAAGCTATGACGGAGTAATCCGAAAATCTTTGTCACGCGATGCTACGCTCGAACAAGTTTTTCCTGGGAATATTACTAATTACCGAGTTAATTAGGAAGTTAGTAATATCCGAAGGAAGGATGTAGACTCTGGGTACCTCTTAGAACCTTGTTCGGTAGGTGATAACCGTTAGTCCATACCTTATGGGTTGTACCTTTGACTCCAGGCTCGTGACTCTGAACCTGTGATCCTGTTACTGTGAAGTGCATTACATAAACATTGCATATCATTTGTATCCTCTGCATCATTCTGCATACATCCAGCTTGTTCAGGATCTTATTCCCAGTTGCTTCTTTCTTCCAGTTAGTCGTCTACCGTCAAGCTGATTCCTCAACACCACTACGGGACTAGAGTTGTTGTTAGATTGATAATGGAAAACCAAGAACAACACAACATGGAATTCAGAATGGAAATCTACGAGTTGAAGTCAGGCATGGCCAAACTTATTGAGATGATGTAAGTCCTGATTTCCAGAGAAGAGCCACCTCAAAGGACTGTGATATCTGAAATCCCAACTACTACTGTTGACACTCAACCTATCCAACATACATCTACTACATGGCCAGAGTTTGGATTTCCTCATAACTACTCTCTGCCTGTTGCAATTACTTCAATGGTTGGCCAGTATTCCCGACCAGTATTTCAGGCTCCAGTTTTCACTGAACCTCAGCCAATCGTTCATACTTCTTCTTGTCAACCTGCTGCACAAGCTGCTTTTGGGAACCCTCTTTTTGAGTACCATATTGTCAGTCTTTGAAGTGTGAGTCAAGGAGACTTTGGTGAGTTTGAAGAGTTCAAAGAACAGTATCATACTTTAGACAAGAGACTTAGAGCTATTGAAGGAAATGAGTTCTTCAGTGTTGATGCTAACAACATGTGCCTAATTTCTGATCTGGTTATGCCTGCAAAGGTCAAGACTCCCGAGTTTGAGAAATATCGGGGGAACACTTGTCCAAGAAGTCACTTGGTGATGTACTTTCAAAGGATGTCTGCTTACATAAAGAATGCCAAGCTGCTTATCCATTGTTTCCAAGATAGTCTAAGTGGAGCTTCATTTAAATGGTATATGGGACTTGAGAAAGGTTGTATCCAATGCTTCTAAGATCTTGTTGATGCTTTCATAAATCAATACAAATACAACCTTGATATGGCACCTGATCATCGCCAACTACAAAATATGTCTAAGAATGAGAAAGAATCTTTCAAAGAGTATGCTCAACATTGGAGAGAATTGTCATCTCATGTTGAACCGCCTCTGGCAGAGAAAGAGCTAACTGGACTGTTCATGGATACTTTGTCCCCTTTCTTTTGGGAGAAGATGATTGGTAGCGTGTCTTCCAGCTTCACAGAAATGGTGACCATTGGCCAGAGATTAGAAGAAGGGATCAAGAACGGTAAAGTGTCTAAAGCTGTTGAATCTTCTAAGGGAACTTTCAGAAGAAGAAAGAGGTAGAAGCCAATGTTGTCTCGACTAAGGGAAGAGGACCTCGCCATAGGCCTCAATACACTGATCGATCACAAGTGGCGGCTGTTACTCCCGCGGTCAATGCTTAACCAGTTCAGGTTTCTTAACAACAGAATATTGCACAGAATCAGAATCGTTATGTAGGGTATAAGGCTCAATTTGATCCCATCCCTATGACATACATTGAATTGTATCCTGAAATGGTGCAAAAGGGCTTGATTACAACTAGGCCTTTGATTCTTCGAAATCCTCCTCCAGCCGGGTTCAGATCTGACCTTCACTGTGAATTTCATCAGAGAGCTATCAGTCATGATTTAGAAAGCTGCTATGCATTGTAAAATAGAGTGCAAGAATTGGTGAAAGCAAATATTCTCACTTTCAAAGAGGCAGGTCCTAATATTATCGACAATCCTTTGCCAAAACAAAGTGTCTGAAGACTGAGTTGGGGTGCCCTCAAGTCACTTCCTAAAGCCAATGTTTCAGACAGGATAGCTCATCCTTGTTACTAATTAGTCACTAGGCCATCTTTCTCTTCGTTTTCATTTTTCCGTTGTTTATGTTAAAATTGTTGCTTTCAAATTTTGTTTGTACTTTCATGTTAAGTTTAATGAAATGAGCATTGCAATGTTTTGATTCAAATTATTTTCACTTACTGCTTACAAATATATTTCTCTTGTTTACTTTCTTTATCAAACACTCATTCATGCAAATATTTGAGGGACGATGATGAAAATGAAATACCCATAATTGTTGTTGGTATGCTTTTGAATAAAACTGTGTTGAGGATATACATGCATTGTTTTAACTCCCAAACAACAGAGCAATAAGGAAGTTAATCCCTCGTTCACCCCTTTGAGCCTAGAAGTTGGAGTTTCATTCTATACGAAAAAACCGCAATCTTAACCTGGGGATGGGTATTTCTAAGTTAATTTGGATGTGCATGCAATTACAAGAGAAATCGTGCAAGACACCTTTCAATAAAGGTCGTGATCAAGCTTTCCTTTACACACAGTAAGAAGTGTCAAAGATGCTCTCAAACAAAAAAAAATATGGTTCCCCATAATCATTGAGCAAGGAAGTCATTATCTTTCTAAAAAGAAAATTGAAATGAAAAGAAAAATCAAAAGAAAAATCCCGCTAAGTCAAAACCTCTAAATGAGACTTAGGAAAAAAACTGGGGCTTCCCACTGACTGTAATCTCAAATGAAACAGTTCAGGTAAAAGTTGGGAATAATAAATTCAATTAGAAGAGGTCTTCAAATCCTCAAAATTCTCCACCAGAGTTGACAAAAGTCCTCAAAACAACAAAATGATGTAAGAAGAAGTGGTTGTCATTCTCAAGAATCCTTTAGCTTCTGAATCATCTTCATTGCTACCATCAGTGCAATTCCAAAATCTCTTAGAACCTGAATGTGTATTCTAAATTAATTGAACGTAGGACTGGATAACATCATGAAGATTGGGTTGGGTACAAATAAACTTTGAGCCTTTATCCTTTATTTCTTAAACTGTGAACCAGACCACGTTACAACCCTCAAAAGACCTAAATGAAACCAGGTTTCTTTTGAAAGCATACTACAGCAAGGTTGCGTAAACTGACTCCTAAGATCTTTTGCAAATAATTTGTCTTGGTATGTACGTGACTTTGCTTTCTATTTCACTTTAAAAGTATAAACCACTGTGTTTTAACAAGTGATGCATTTTCCATACACCAACAATATCATTTCAAAAATGATTTTGGATTCAAAAACTTTTGCATGAACTTTGCATTAAAATTACCATGTTTGAATAGACGATTTTGCTTGCAAACAAGTTTTCCTCGTCAAGGAATTTCAAACAGCTGAGAAACTTGGTCAGTGACCTCATCAGGGGCAAGTATCTTCCAGATCCAGTTGTGAATCAGTTCAAGATTTATTGCTCAGTGCAAGTTTTCTCAGAATTGGTTAGCCAAAAGATCATTTTCAAGAGTCATACTGGGGTATTCCTTTCCAACAAATATCTAAAGAACTGAAGCCATGATCAATTTATTCCCAACAATCATTTCAAGAACTGAAGCTAGGATTATTTTATTCCAACAAATATCTCAAGAACTGAAGCCATGATCAGTTTATCTCCAACAATCATTTCAGAGTTGAAGCCATGATCAGCTCATTTCCAACAACTTTCGATTGAAGCCATGATCAGTTTATTCCCAACAAACATTTCAAGAACTGAAGCCATGATCAGTTTACTCCAACAAACATCTCCAGAACTGAAGCCATGATCAGTTTATCTCCAATAGTCATTTCAGAGCTAAATCCATCATCAGCTCATTTCCAACAACTTTCAACTGAAGTCGTGATCATTTTATCCTCAACAGTCAGCTAATCTGGAAAAAATCCCCAAGAAGCTCTCCATGTCCTTCCTCAGAGGATCATCAGTTCAATACAGTTTACAAGTGTGACAAATTTGGGCTCAAGACATTTTCTTCCCAAGATAATTTGGTAGAGCTCTCCGTGTTGAGGAATCAAACTTCCAATCTTACCTCCACAAAAGAGTCAAACTCCATTGTCGTAAACGTCGTCATTACATGCATAGATCATTCACATATCATGCATAACAAAATTCATATATAATGCATAACAAGAGTGTTTCATCTTCATTTGCATTTCTCGAGGTCTTGTTGTACTTGACATGTCACCTTGAGATCAAAGTCCAACTTACATGGAACCTACTAAAGCAGATGTCAGTTCGGCTGTTTCCTCTCTTTCGTTCAATGCTAATCTTGGATGAGTTATTTCTCTCTTTCTTCCAATGCTAATCTTGGATGAGCTGTTTCTCTCTTTCGTCCAATGCTAATCTTGGATGAGCTATTTTCTCTCTTTCTTCTAATGCTAATCTTGGATGAGCTATTTTCTCTCTTTCTTCCAATGCTAATCTTGGATGAGTTGTATTTCTTTCAACCAAAGCTAATCTTGGATGAGTTGTTTCCCTCTTTCGTCCAATTCTAATCTTGGGTATCATGTTTCCCCATGCTGTCCAAAGCCAATATTGGATGCCATGATCTTTTGCTGCCATCCAAAGCCAATATTGGATGCCACCATCTTTTTTGTCGTCCAAAGCCAATATTGGATGTCGCAATCTTTTATTGCCGTCCAAAACCAATATTGGATGTCGTAATCTTTTTTTCTATCCAAAGCTAATATTGGATGCCACCATCTTTTGTTGTTGTCCAAAACCAATATTGGATGCCATGATTTTTTGCTCCCATCCAAAGCCAATATTGGATGCCACCATCTTTTGTTTCCATCCAAAGACAATATTGGATGTCTTGATCTTTTTTGCTATCCAAAGCTAATATTGGATACCATGATCTTTTGCTACCATCCAAATCCAATAATGGATGCCACCATCTTTTGTTTCCATCCAAAGCCAATATTGGATGTCTTGATCTTTTTGCTATCCAAAGCCAATATTGGATACCATGATCTTTTGATTCCATCCAAAGCCAATATTGGATGTCACCATCTTTTGTTTCCATCCAAAGCCAATATTGGATGTTGTTACCTTTTCTTCCATCCAAAGCCAATATTAGATGTTGCTATCTTTTGTTTCCTTCCAAAGCCAATATTGGATGTTGTTATCTTTGTTGTTGTCCAAAGTTAATATTAGATGTCGTGACCTTTTGTTTCCATCCAAAGTCAATATTGGATACCATGATATTTTCTTCCATCCAAAGCTAATATTGGATGTCGTGATCTTTTGTTGCCGTCCAAAGTCAATATTGGATGTCATAACCTTTTTTGCTATCCAAAGACAATATTGGATGTTGTTATCTTTGTTGTTGTCTAAAGCCATTATTGGATGCCATGATTTGTCTCACCTCATTCAAAGCCAATATTGGATGTTGTGATCTTTCTCTCGTCTAAAGCCATTATTAGCCGTTGAGTTTTCCATTCATCCAAAGCCAATATTGGACTTTGTGATCTTTTTTTCTTGTTTAAAGCCATTATTAGACGTTGAGTTTTCCCTTCATTCAAAGACAATATTGGATGTTGCTATCTTTTTTCCATCCAAAGCCAATATTGGATGTCATGATCTTTTATTTCCATTCAAATCCAATATTGGATGTTGCCATCTTTTCTTCCATCCAAAGCCAATATTGGATGTCATAATATTTTGTTTCCATCCAAAGCCAATATTGGATTTTGCTATCTTTTGTTTCCATCTAAAGCCAATATTGGATATTGTGATCTTTTCTCTTATCTAAAGCCATTATTAGACGTTGAGTTTTCCCTTCATTGAAAGCTAAT